AAGAAAGAAACTCATACAGGTTTGGAACAACATGAGGGTGAGTAACTAATGACAAAATTTTCATGTTTGGGCGAGCTATTCCTTTCAAATTTTGGACAACTTTCCTCAACATGCTTTATTAGAAACATAGTTTTACTGGTGTGTGTGTTCAGGTAACTATGAGATGGTGAGTCTGCTGTTGTCCCGTGGCACTGACCCAATGCTGCGGGTGCATCTGACATCCTCACTCTATGAGGGCATGAACTGCTTCAGTCACGCTGCAGCGCATGGACACAGGTACTGACCCCTCAACGACACAGACACATGCACTGATCAAGAATGATTTAGGCTATTATGTACTGAATATTGTCTGTTCCCCCAGGAATGTGTTGAGGAAGCTCTTGAGTCAGCCCCAGTGGCTGCAGGAAGACGTGCTTTCTCTGGAGGAGATCCTGGCTGAGGGAGTAGAGGAGCAGGAGAAACGGGAAATGAAGGATGGAGCAAATGCAAAGTCTGTCTGCGCTCCACGGCTGTGTAAAGCCCGCATCAGAGCGCTGCAGGAAGCCAGCCTTCACAGTGCTGAGCACGGCTATCTGGACGTCACCATGGAGCTCAGGGCACTGGGTACACATCTGACTCATTTACAGTAAATGAAAGAAAATGGACAACAAACTGAATTAGATATGCATAAACAGTGAGATATTTTTGGCATGTGCATAGCAAAGTGTATAAAAGTCGATGATTACAGGCTCAGTCAAGGCTTAAAGAGAGATTATTAATAAACCACTGGTAAGATTAACCTGCTATTTTAACTAAACAGTGGTTCTCAACTAAGGTAACAACTACTACCAACTTTTTTCACCATTAGAGCACAAGCACCGGCAGTTTTAGAAGTAATAGATTAGTTGTGTAATCTGTTGTTCAACGTTTAAAGTGTTTTAAGAAGCTTCTTGTTCTCTCTCAGGAGTGCCTTGGAAGCTGCACATATGGCTAGAGTCAGTGCGCAGTGCCCAGCTCCAGTCCAGGACTGAACTCACACTTTCTCTCCTTAAAGACTTCACCACTATTGGGGATGAAAAATACTGCGAGGAGCTGCTCTCGGAGGGTCTTCCACTCCTCTTCTCCATTTTTAAAACTAGCAAGGTGTGCTTAAAATCCATCACCATCATGTGAATGCTTGAAGAATCGTCAGCTAAGTGAAATATTGTATTTGAAATGTCTGTGTGTTCTTTTCTTTAATACAGAGTAAGGATATCCGTAAGCAGCTGGCAGTCATCTTCAGCTATTGTGTTTGCTCTACAGCCGCCCCGTGTATTCTGGCAGTAAAGGACACACCTACAGCTCAGCTGGGTAATGCAGATCACCACACACAATACTTTACCTATGTACACTATTGTTCAAAAAAAACTATTGTTTTGGGTATATA